TATTATTGCTTGGTGACATTATTTTATAAGGAAGCATGTGTGGTGGGGACTTTCTACATCAACACATGAGGATTTGCTCCAGTCATGTTTTTTAATTGGTTCCAAATTATTCCATTGCGTGGCTACACTCTGATGCTCATACTGCGTTTTGGGCTTTCCGGCTGCTTCTGTCTTGTACTGACAGGCCACTCTGCAGTGACTGTTCCTGTCCTGTACTCGTCGCTCCTGTGTGGAGTGATGATCCTAGATCTCACTCATTCCCCATTTAGTTTATGGGACATCTTGTGTGGGGTCTGTGGGCTGGTCCTGGATTCAGCAGAGACAGGAAAGGCACTTTCCTGCCTTCTCAGAGCTCACAGCTCAGGGAGGCTCTCAGAACTGGGGTACTGGGCCACACACAGTGGTTCACGCCTATAATGCTAGCACTGTGGGAGGACAAGGCAGGTGGATCACTTGAGATCATGAGTTTGAGCCCAGCCTGAGCAAGAGCAAGACTCCATCTCTTAAAAAAAAAAAAGAAAGAAAGAAAGAAAGAAAAACTCACTGGGCATTGTGGTGGGTGCCTGTGGTCCCAGCTGCTTGGGAGGCTGAGGCAGGAGGATCACTTGAGCCCAAGAGTCTGAAGTTGCTGTGGGCTGTGATACAATGGCACTCTACCGAGGGCAACAAAGTGAGACTATCTCAAATTAAAAAAAAGAGTGGGGTACTAGCAGTGACCCATCCTCTGCAGGAGGGTGTGAGCATGTCCCTCTCTCACATCCTCACCTTTCTTGGAATATTTCTGTGGGTAGAAACTGCCCGTAACCCTGTGTCCACCTCTCTCTCCACTGTTTATCCTTTCATGCCCCTGGTGTAGACCAGATGCCAGGAGCCCTGAGGTGCCCTTAGCAGCTCCCTCTGCTGGTCTCTCTGGGAATTCTGGTTCCAACAGGTGACCCCTGCAGAACCTGTGATTCTGCCGACAGTGAGTGTGGGTGTTCTAGGAGGGGCGGGCACCTCCTTGGGCAAGGTCGGTGAAGATAGAGGGGGAGGAGGCAGCTGATGACTTTGGCAGGTGGACGGCTAGGACTGGGCCCATAAGGGGAGGGGAAGGAAGGCATTCCAGGCAGTAACAGAAAGGCTGGAACCTTCCTTCATGGACCAAGAGCAGGAAGGAGCTCACCCAGGCTGCAGCTGGGGAGGGAAGACATGGGGAGCTGTGAGTCAGGGAGAAGAGGCTGGATTGACCTTGAGGGCTGGGTGGGGGCAGAGGTGTGTTATGTGTATCTGTCTCTGTCATGGGTATTGATATGGGGACAGGTGAGGCTGTGGGAAGCACCCAGGAGGGGGGTTTCTTAGAGCCTGCTGCCCCCCTGATCCTCTCTATGCAGAGGTCACCACAGATGTGAGGCTGTGGTCTGGGGAAGGGGCTGGTGGTCTGAGGCCTGTGGTGCCCATGACTCTGGAGAGGAAGGAGATGCATAAGGACATCCCTGCACATGGGAGTCTCAGGTGTGTGGAGCTACAGGTGTCTCACCTGGAGACACTCACTGGACACTTGCCTTGGGAGCGCCAGAACTGGGTGGTTGTCATTGTTCTGAAGTTTGCATGACGCACACACAGGTGTCCAGGGACACAGAGCACAAGGCCCCTGGTGAAGGGGACAGTCGGATGGGGCTGGGCAAGTTCACATGGTCATAGTGGGAAGGAGTCCTAAGAGAGAGATTCAGTCCCACCTGTCACAGATATGGCAGTGTCCAGGAGAGATGAGGAGACTGATCCAGGGCAGAGACAGTGAGCGTGAGTGAAGACAGGGCCGAGAGGATGCTGGTGCCTGCTTAGATGCAGGATGTAAGTAGGGGTCTGTTCCCATCCAAGCCATGGGACCCTTACACTAGGCATCCTGGGTAGTGTGAGTGTGTGACCCGCAGGGACACTGGGCTGTCTGGACCTGTGCCTCTGGAAGGGTAGGGCTGTGTCTGTAAAAGAGTTGCCTCTGGGTGGGGTATTTTGAGAATGAGGAAGATGAGTGTGACTGTGAGCCTGATTATTTTCAGCCCCTGGGGACATTGGGCCCTATGCTGGTGACAGATTTCACTTATTCTTCCTAAGGATCTTTTGCCCTATGGCAAGACAAATGGCAAAGGTCTCTGACACCTGGCAGCCTGGAGGAGCTGGCAGAGAACCTCAAGGGATCACCTGCAGATGAGGACAGGGTACACACCAGAGGTGCTCTGGGCTGGGTGATGGGTGTGGTTCCAAGGTCAGCCACTAGGGAGTATATGTCAGAAATTAATCAGGGAAGGTTCCCACCATTGTAGGCAGAAATTAATCACAGAAGGTTCCCACCACTGTAGGCAGAGACAATATCCTGAGTCTCAGGGCCAGGGAGACTCACACTGAGGCCGCTGTGGGCATGCAGGCTCCCCAAGATCACACTCTCTGGTTGCAACAATCAGTCCCACAGGAGTTGCAACGGATGCGCCAATAATACTCATGTCCAGGCACATGCAAAGCTTTCAAGATTTATGAATTAGTGAAGAATCAGATTATCTCTGCAATAGCTGTCTTGTTGGTTGTTTCTTGTTGGTTGTCCCCGAGTCACTGTCCAAGGTGCTGATGACCAAAGGGAGGAGGTAATGGTTCCTGGAGATGACCATGCAGTATTGCAGGGCTGGTGAGATGTGATTTTTTGGTACCCTCTGCTCTCAAATGTCACCAAGGAGAGGCTGGGAGGTCCTAGGTGCATGGAAAGTCCCCAGCTCCCTGTCTTCTGATAAGTTCCCACAAGGAGAAAGAGAGCCAATGGGGGGAAGGTCCTCTTTATTCAGTCCTCTCCAGGGAATCCTTGGTGGGCCATAGGCCCATTCATTGTCCCTGGAAGCAGGGACACCACTTCCTGTGGTGACAGAAGGCCTTCTCCTGGCCTTCCCAGAGCCCAAGAAGCCTGTTCCAGTCTCTAGATATCCAGGAGGGACCCAGGTCCTCAGCCCCAGGACCCAGAGTCTAAAAAGGACTCAACTGACTCTGCCTCAGGCCTTGTGTCCTGCCCCCTCCATAGGCCTGGCATCTTAGGGGACCCTCCATCAGCCAGAGAAGTGGTTCCTGGAGGAAGCTAAGGGGCTATATCTGGTCTGTGGTCGATCCTGCAGTATACGTTTGTGTCAGGGTGTAGCAATTCCTGTAAGAAGAAGGAAGAGGCCTCTGACCCCTATAGGCTTCTCAGCGGAGTGGGGCGTTTCCTGGGCTCTGGGCCCACCAGGGCTGCTCTGTGCTAAGCCTGGCTGTGCTCAGGGGGTCCCTACTCCAGGGCCTCTCCCTCTTCTGCTCGTCACCCCCATTCCCATTTTCCCTGCCATTTTATGAATCTCAAAGCTCAGCCAGGTGGGGGCTGGGGACAGATCCTGGGTATGCTAGGGCTCGTGGGACCAGAACACCGAGGGCTCACACTCACCTCATAGATGGGGATGGTGGCCCTGGGGTCAGGTGGGGGGGCTAAGGGGAAGAGAGAGGGGACAGAAGGGAGGGTCATGGAGGTTGGGGGACAGGGAAGGAAGGTCATAGGGATAGGGAGGGAGGGGGACAGATTATAGAGGGGACAGGGAGGAAGGGTCATGGAAGCCTAGGGTCAGGGGATGGAGAGGGGATCATAGGACAGGGAGGGAATGTCATGGAGGCCAAGGCTGAGTCTGGAAGGTTCTTTTCTCTGTTCAGACAGCCAGGACTTGCATTCCTGGGTCTACCTTGGGTCATTTTCCCTCAGGAGTGACTAGCTCTACTTCTGGAGATCAGCTTCCTGGCCTGGACACAGCACTGCAGTACCCATCCTGTCCTCACCCCACATCTTGGTTAACCCGGGACCCTGACTGGTGCTCTGAGGACTCACCCTGCATCTGTTGGATTCCTGGGGTCTCCTTATGGTGGGTCAGGACAGGGTGTGGGGTCCTGGTCCTGAGGAGAGCCCCAGTTTCTGGTCAGTGTGGGGTTGATCTTGTCCTAGGGAGGGGATCTATGCTGGGGGTGGACGGTCCCCCTGCCCTGAACCTGCACAGCTGAGACCCACTTGGGAAGGGGCTGGGCTTACCCAGGGGGTGGAGCTGGCAGAGGGAGCAGGGCCTGGGGGCAGAGACAAGAGATAGCACCAGGCATGGAGAGCTGGGCCTCTCTTCTAGGAGGGCATGGGGGCCCTCAGCTTCCAAAGAATGGGGGGAGGGGAAGTCTTCTGTGGAGAACCTCTCACCACTGTAGGGGCCACACGAACAACTGAGGCTGAGGAGGTGACCCATGACCCAGAGCCCTCAGATCGGGGTTGATGCGGCTAGTGAGGGTCCTAGTGAGGGTCCCCTATGTTGATGTTCCTGAGACTCCTCCTTGGAACCCCAGGGGAGGGGTCAGAGCCCCCAGTGGGGTGTCTGGTAGGAGTAGACATTGTGGGGCAGGCCTCTGGGGCTGGCCATACCTGGACAGAAGGGGCACTCACCACAGACAGACTTTGGTGACTGCTCTTCCCTGAGGTCACACTGGCCACTGGCCCTAGGAAAGGTCAGACTTAATCGTGAGGGGGCAGGCTTAAAAATCACAATTTTGGAGTTAGAGCAGGGACAAAGAGGGGGCCCCATTTCGCAGGGACAAAGAGGGGGCCCCATTTCCAAGCATGAGCACAGTGACCTTTCTTCATCAGTCCTGGGCTAGGGGCAGGAGAGGGAGCTGAGGAAAGGCCTGAGATCCACATGTGTCCTGGCCCAGGGGGAAGATGTGGGCCCAGACCAGGGCTGGACTAAGCAGGAGGGTCCAGGACCTACAGAGAAAGCCCTGTCAGTCGCATGGGCAGGACACTGGGGGAGCTGTGGGACTCTTGGGTCCTCCTTGCTGTGGCCAGACCCTTGGTTCAGGCCACTGAAATGTGTCCATGGCTTGTCCTCCATCTCTGCTGGCCTGGGCAAGAGACATAAAGGACGCTGCAGGATGTGACATCTTGATGGGGCCCCGGTGCTCCATCAGGGGTCACTGGCTGCACCTGCCCTGTCCCAGTCTCTACTGTGTGACTGTGCCCAGGACCCTCTCAGCCCCTGAGGCTGCAAGCCGCCCCTGCTGGGTGGGTGGATTGAAATGAACATCGGGAGGTGCCGTTTACAGAGGCAGCACTGTGGGTTTGCTGTGAGGGAACCAGGACACACTCAGGTCCTGTCCTTAATTGTGCCTAATCTGAGAGGAGGACACTGCTGAGGACAAAGCCCAAGGCCAGCAGCTGGTCAGGAGGGGCCGGATGGAGTGAGAGGGGAGGGGAGTAGGGAGATTGAGGAGAGGCAGGCCCAGAACACAGGATGGGTCTCCTTGGTCCTGGCCTGCATCAGCTGGGGACAGGATGAGGATGAGGGGGAACCTTTGGTACCTTCCAATCCCTGTGAGGAACAGGACACACACCATGGTGGCCATAGCCTCCTGGCCAGGACCCCAGTCCCGATGCCAGCAATGGCCTCCATAGGGAGGCCTGGGGTGTTGTCTTTTGCTGAAAGAAGAAATAGGTGAGCCCAAGTCTGCTCCAGGGGAAACCACAGGGACCTTGCAGGAAGGGGTGTGGTTAGGGAGGAAGCAAATGCCACCATGCTGTGCCGTTCGTGTTATCATCAGGACAGACTCCCTGCTCTCCCAGAGGCCTCATTCTCCGTCTCTCAGGTGCAACCTCGGACTTGCTCTGACTCTCACCTTCTCCACACGGAGCCCGCCCTGGTCCTGCCCAGGTGCCTGTGAGTGCCCCTTCCCTCCCACTGCTGCCCCCTCCCTTTTCCTCTTCTCCCTCATGTGTGGGGGTTAGAGGAGGGCCCTGAGCAGTCGGGTCAGTGCTGATCCGGGGTAATGATGTTCGTTGGCTGTTTCCAGATGCCTTCCGTGTGCCAGGCACAGGGGAAGAAGCTTACCGACACCTTGACTGATCCTGTCATCCACTTGAGGGAGAGGGGGTGTCATCCCCTTTCTGCTCATTCAGAATCTGAGCCCTAAATTGCTTCGGTAAGTCAAGGAAGACACAGAATTGGTGACAAATGAAATTTTAACTGAATCATGCTTGATTTTTATGCTCATAGCCGTGTTCATCAAAATAGTAACACTAATGGATTGAGCCCTTGCTCTGGGTACCACTCTGTGCTAAGAGCTTTACTCTCATTAATTTCCTAAGAAACATTCTCACGACAACCCGGACTCCTGGTGTCATGGTGTATTTGACTCCAGCATTTCCTTTGGTTCTCAGGACGCAGACTGTCCATCTCTCTGCTCACCTCAGCCAGGCTCTCCCGCGCTGTCTTCTTTTCCCCATTATAACCCTCAGCATATTAATCAGATTTGTTTTAAATTTGTTCTCTGAGAGCGGCGCCTATGGCTCAAAGGAGTAAGGTACTGGCCCCATATGCCAGAGGTGGCAGGTTCAAACCCAGCCCTGGCCCCAAACTGCAAAAAACAAAAACAAAAACAAAAATTTGTACTTTGATAATTCCAACATCCCTACCTCGTCTGAGACTCATGATGCCCTCTCTGTCTCCACAAACTGAATTTTTTAACCTCTTAATATTTCTTACAATTTTTGTTCTTGGTTTCTTTTTTATTTTTCTTGAGACAATCTCACTTGTCACCCTGGGTAGAGTGCCCTGGAGTCATTGTAGCTCACAGCAACCTCAAACTGTTGGGGTCAAGCAATTCTCCGGCCTCAGCCTGCCTCCTGAGTAGCTGGGACTATAGGCGCCCATGACAACACTGGGCTAGTTTTCCTATTCTTAGTAGAGATGGGGGTCTTGCTGTGGCTCAGGCTGTCTGGAGCTCCTGAGCCAAGCAATCTACCTGCCTTGGCCTCCCAGAGTGCTGGGATTATAGGCGTGAGCCACCATGCTGGCCTATGATTTTTGTTCCTGATCCAGGGAAAGGGAGCTTGGTAGGGTGGACACTTAGAGATGTGGTGGCAATGCGGGAGGGACAGATCC